TGCTATGCTTAAGTTTTCGGTAGCGTGAGTAACCTGTCGTTACTCACACTAGGTGATTATTATTACTCTCATAATAAAATGATGAAAGGAAAAATAAAGACAGGTCAGGGATATGGTATGGTTTTTGGTGGGTGTAACAGGTTGTGTCCCGCGGCCAATGGGGCTTAGCTTGGTTACACTGTTTTCCTTGTCCATGTCGATTAAGGTCCATCCGTTACTGTGGATGGTAGTCAGGTCACAGACTTATTATCCTGAGCACATACTTGCTTATGGAAGCGGGAAGGCTCGTTATGCTCTTGTTGTGGGTTCTATCTCTTTCCGGACTGACCGATTAGAGGCGGAAAAAGGTGGAGGTCTAAGCACCATACTGAGACCGGGTCTCAAGTGTGGGGGCTTGGAGTCTAAGTTTGGACGGGGACCTAGACCCCTTGATAGGAGTGGAATGGGTTGGTCTTGTTTGTGCCTGGGGTACAAACGGGGCATGTATTTTAGGGTACCTTGCTGGGATACATTGGTTCGCGAATCGCCGTTTCCGTGAGACGGTACGACTTGGCTATGGTCTAGCACCATAGTAAGAACTGAAAGATGAAAGATGATAAAATGGTCCTGATTGCTCAACTCTTGCTTGAAAGTAGAACATGTGCTTACCTAGAATGGTTAGTTAATGAAGTAATCATGACTGCTAATAAAACTTGACTATAAGGATGAACTATTAGTAATGCTTTTCGTAAACAAAAAGAAAACAGCAAACCCATATTGCCTATCATACTCCTTGAGAGTCGGGAAACTATTTTCACTAGTCGGGTAAGTCTTGTGAGTACATTGGGTACTCAGGGTTTATTTTACCCCTGTTGCAGGTGCAGCTTGAGGAGTAGCTCTTGTGTGGAGGATTCTTCTGGTGGGCATAGACGGATCCTTATATCGTTTTCGCTAGATGCTTATTTTCATTCCGTTGTTTAATTATCGCACTCTGAACTCTGGTATTGTAATAAATAATTTCTAAGAACTCTTGTTGTATGAAATGGACTAAGTATTATAAGCTCATACTCATTATTGGATTCTAGATATAAAACATGGATTGTTTCGAGTTCTCCCTTGGGTGGGCTTGACGGAACTGTCCGATGTAGCTAACTTTCGGGTGCTTAGTGTCTAGAGGAAGATGAGCGCCTTTTTAAGCGTATTATTTCGGGTGGTTCTGCTACACTGTAGGACTTACTCATCATTTGGCCATATCCACCATTGTTCCAATCGGGAGAGGAGGGGAGGAGCATCGGATATGGCATGGGGAGGGAAGCCGCGTCGAGGCTGAGTGCCTTGCTGAGAGGAAAGGAGCCGTACAAGGACAAGAGCCACAACAGGGTGGAGGTGCCTTGTCAGGTTCCAAATTCCAATCGAATTAGCTATAGTGGCTCGGGAGATGAGGGGAGGAGCATCGAAGACGCCACAAAGGAGAAAGAGGGCATGAGGAAGGGAGCCACAACGGGGTCAAGTGCCTTGCCAAGAGGAGAGGAGCCGCATTCAGTGGGCCTCGCTAGGACGAGACGGGTTTCGAGGAGCCAAGGAGGTGGAGCCACACTAGCCGCACGGAGGTGGGGAATATGGTGGCAACGTAGGAGAAAGTGGAGACGAAAAAAAGATGTGCCGGAGCAAGTTGTGAGATTTAGGGGCTTCCATAAAGTTGGAACCTGAATTGGGGCCTATTTAAGATCCCTGGAGATGCTTTAAGAGTAGCTCCAATGTACATGCTAAGTGGATACAAAGAGGAGAGACAAGAGAAAAAAAGATACAATACATTGCAATGGAGGTGCTAGCGAGGAACCCCTTGGAACGAATTGCCTACTTTTATTCCCGGTGTCAGCATTAAACAAACAATTTCCTTTGGAAAGTTGGAGAGATGAAGAGTATTTATTCTCGCCTCTCAAACTTACCAACCATTGGAGCTATTTTTGCTAATCCAGCAACTTCTAACGTGGCAAGCTTTGCACCTCCTATCAAGATCATACACTAAAGTTGCTCTTTAAATGTACTAGGGCTAACAACTAGTCTTATTGTTAGCTCCTATTTAGTGACCCTATTTGGATGGACCAGGAGTAGTTGGTCCTGTTCGTTTATCTTATAATCCGTATTTTTTGGCTTGTCTTTTCAACCGGAACAGTGTTTTTCTCTCACAACAAATCAACCGAAATAGTGTTTCAGCTTGTTTTTTCAGCGAAGCGAATGGGGCCGCTGTTAGCCATGACTAAAAATTAGCCAACTAGTTGTTAGTCCATACCTGTTTGGATCCTAAACTAATGGTTATGTTCTATAGACTAGAACTAGTTGTTAGCCCCTAATAGTTGGGTTTTATAGACTAGTGAACAACAACTAGTTGAAGCTTAGGCTAAACTTTAGCCCACCTCTTAGTCCTCTTATTTGGATCCTCAATGAACTAAGAGCATCTCCGACAGTTTTTCTAAAGCTCACTCTCTAAATTATCATTTGGAGAGCCGTTTGCATAAAAATCGATTTCTATATCTTTTCACTCTCCATCAGTTTTTTTATATCTTGTGTGCACTCTAGAAAACCATTTTTTTCTATCTTTAGCTAGCGAGATATCCGAAATAGAAAATAGCTATATTTGGATAACCAAATATGGAGGGTATTTTTTTCATCAAAATTTCTATTCATAGCAATTAGGAAGGATAGTCTCTTGGAGTTGCTCTAAGGGCATATTTTTGGATAGACTAGGACTAACTAGTCCTGTTAGCTCCCATCTAAGGGCATGTTTTTGGATAGACTAGACTAACTAGTCCTGTTAGCTTCTATCTATGGACTAGTGACCTAACAACTAGTTCATGACTAATGAACTAACAATTAATTTGCCTAATACTCAGAGACTTTAGTCAACAAGTTATTAGTCTTATAAATCCAAACAAGGCCTAACAACTAATCCATGACTAATGGACTAATAATTATTCTACCTGTTTGGATCCTAATGGACTAAAATTAGTCGACTAATTCTTGTCCTATGCATCCAAACAAGGCCTAAAAAACAGGACTCTTTGCATTGGCAGTCAAGGAAGAGCGAGTCCAGAGAAGTTTGTCCTAAATATGAAACAGAGGGACTATATATCAAAAACCATATACATACACGGTTCATCTAGTGGTTAGACAGTCAGGTGCATGGCATTGTTCTTCCAAGAATATAACCCCAAATTGGCAAATTGGCAATCTCAAAACCATATAACTGTTAGTCGCTGAATTCTCACTCTTGGTAGTAGGAGAATTCTTACTCTCATCGAGAGAGGATGACACTAGGAGTTGGGGCAATTTTCTTGTCTATTTCTCACACAAGCTCACGCAAATGCCATACCAACCTGAGGGGTTGGGGTTACATATTTATAGGCTGCTAGCCAGCCAAGCATATGCCAAGATGCTAGTCTAAGATGCTAGTCTAAGATGCTAATATGCTGTCCTAGCTAAGATGCTGTCCTCTAGTCTAAGATGCTGTCCTCTAAGATGCTGTCCTCTAGTCTAAGATGCTGTCCTAAAAACAGAAAAACAGCCACAAGAACCATGTGAGCAACAACAGCCCCACAAAGACCAGCCACACATGACTTATCCATCAATAACTGCCTTGCGCTCTGCTCAGCTGGGCTGAGCATACAATAACTTAAGCTATCTCTTGAACAAGCTGCAGGATTTGTTCAGTATCATATGATATTGTAGCATACAAATTGCCAGATTGGATAATGACTAGATGAACATCAGGGTTTGCTGCATTGCGTGCCTTCTTTCAGATTCCTTACATATGCAGATATCGATTCACATTTATATTTATCATATCAGGCCAGGAGCCCAGCTTGGAACTGCAGTGCATCAAAGGGCAAGCACAAATCACACCCAAGAAGTATGCTGGAAATAAAGTTCTATGCTTGGTCTACAGCTATTTTGTATAATTATCGCCAGTAGCTACAAAATGGGATTACAATTGCATACAAGAGCACACTTAAAGGTTCAAACGACAGTTGCATGCAAATTTTTAGTAAGTACAGTGAGTTATTTAGGTACGCCACCAGTTAAGCTTTTTGTAAGCAACTAATATTATCTCAGAATGACCTAAATGATTCATGTTCACCACAAGCCAATGATGCATATTCCAAACAGAGAGCTAGAATCCTAGAACATCAATTTATATAAAGGAGGGTAGCAGACTGAGGTGGTGAAGTGCCTCGGTGCTGCAAGTATGAACTAGGAGTTATTGATACCATTAGAAAGTAGAAACATGCCATAACCTGGAAAAGGACGAATGAATTGTGACACCCACAAGGCCATAATCGGTCTATTTCAGGTAATGCGCAAGCAATACGGCATCAAGTAGGAGTTATCACTTTGTAAAACATGTTATAACCTAGAAAAGGACGAATGAGTTGAGACATCCCAGAAAGCCACAATCGGTATATTTCTGGTTATCTTGGAATGTGGACAAAGCAAATTGCTGAATGACAAAAAAAAAAACACTAATAGACCCTGCTCATAATAAAAAGAAACCATCAAAATTTGGGTAGGGCTGAAGGAGCTGTGGCAAATGTTCTAGCTTCAAGACATCCATACAGCTATACATGTGCAAACATAACACACCAGCCCACAGACAACTTCGATAACACAAGTTCTATCAAAATTTCTCGGTAAAATCAGTGCCAGCATACATGTTGTGGACCACGCACACAAAATGTCACTAATGGGAATAACAACCTTAAACTAAGGAAAGGATTTCTAATTCCAGTCTCCTTGTTTGCAAATCATCTTGGACTCCCATCAATGGCCATGGCAATCATATCAAGGAGAACCATTACCACAATAGACAAAATGAGGAAACCACTGGGATTGCACAGTGAGACCTACAGCATTAAGGGAACCAAATCATCACCTATAGCAACAAAAAATTCAAATACTAAACCAGCGGCACAACGATTACCTGCTGCAGAAGGGAAGGTGTAAACTCAGGACTGTCCTGATCTCTATAGCAGCACAAGACCAAGCTCAGAGGGCTTGATGCCATTGCGAATACGGTAGTTGTAGAGGTAATAGTGGAGCTGCCCATCTCCAGGACCAAACTTGAGCTCCTTGAGGAATGACTCATTCTCCATGACATCGAGAGCATTGAACACGTCATAATTCTTCTGCTTGGCAACAATCAGAGCATCATTCATCAGCTGCTGCAACGGAGTTTTGGTGGAAACATTGTAATATGAGTATGCCGCTTTGAGCGTCGCATAGTTAGCATTGTTGAGCACTGATGAGGGCAGCGTGTAAAAGCTGCAGAAATCCGTGACCTCATGCGTCTCAGGGCTCTCCACAAGGTAGCTGTCCACCACATCCTCTTGGGGCAGCAGCCAGTGCTCCACATCTACCTCATCAAAATCTGGTGCCACCACAAACCTCGCAAGGTAAGCCCTCAGCAGCCGTGTGACTGCAGCAACATCCCGCAGCTCCATTCTGCGGAACCCAGGGGTGAGCGGCGCATCAGGCATCTTGTATAGACGGACCGTGCGGCTCATTGTCATGCGCGGACCGAGGCGAGAGAACCCAACATCGATGAGCTTCTTGGGGTTGAGGGATCGGTGCCAGTAGCGGCAGGTGGTGATGGGGGTTGGGAGGACGACCCCCGCGGTGTATGCAGCCTGCCAGATGTTCTCCTGGTGGACGCGGCGGGTGACCTCCCGGATGAGCACGGGTGCCAGGCGCTTGGATCGGAGCTTCTTGTGGACGCAGAGGAAGTTGATCTCGGCCATGCGGACGATGTCGTCGCGGGCGCGGATGCGGGCCGGGACGCCCGAGATGAAGGCGACGAGCTTCTTGGACTCCTTGGCGCGGACGCCGATGTGCCAGGCCCGGAAGAAGGACGGCGGCTTGAGCGCCCAGCGGAGGAAGGCCGGGGAGTAGTTGAAGCGGAACATGTTCTCGTCGTCCTCGACGTAGTTGTGGGCGAGCAGCGAGTAGAGGTCGGCCAGGAGCGCGTCGTCGTCGAGGTCGCAGGTGAGCCACTCGAAGGCGGCGGGCAGCGGGTAGGGGTCGGCGCGCACCTCGGAGAGTGGCGTCGGCGGCTCGATGGGGCCGTCCGGTAGCGACGTGTCGGCGGTGTCGCGGAACTGGCCGACGGGCTGCGTCTCCCAGAACTTGTGGCGGCGAGCGGCGGGGTTGGAGTTGAGGGTCATGTGCTCCTGCACGCGCCGCGCCAACGCCTCGATGGAGATGTCTTCCTCGCCAGCCGGGCCGGTGCCACTGGCGCTGGCGGCGTCGTTGCTGTTGGGGGCGGCCATGGCGATCTGGGCCCGGATCGGCGGTAGGGTTTGGGCGATTTGGGGGAGAGAAGAGACGACGACGCGGGGGAGGGGAACGCGAGGGGGCAGCGGGCAGATCTCTGTCTTGTGGGCTCCTCTCCTCGTAAGCGTAGCAATTAGCAAAGCCCCCCACCAGCAGGAAAAGATGCGTTACTATTTTAGTTTTTTTTTTCCCCTAGCACTCCGTATAATATACTCGGTGTATTCAACTTTCCTAGGGCCAACAAGAAACACTTCGTTCCTTGTAAAAACAACATTTCGTTCCTTAAGATTTTTAAATATTTCCTAGGTTACAAAATTGAAAGCATAATAAGATGTTACTGGTAACCATGGTGATGATCGATCGATTGATAAAAACATGAGATAAGCAGGGCAAACATAATATTTTCAGTTTAGCACCATCACATCAGAACTTGATTCAGATCCATTTATAGCCATGGGCAATGGACCAGTCAAACACTGTAACTAGAAAGCTGAGATCAATGTACCAAAAGAGAAATGCAGAGGAGAAGACTGTTATGGTCGAATCTGTTTTTGGAGCTTTCTTTTGGCAAAGGCTATCGACAATGTCGCACTAGCATAAAGAAGAGTACTCTAAAAAGAACAATTCTCACACTCGTGATGAACAAGGGTCGAACAGAAGCACAGAACACAACATTCTCGAATTGAAAGATACAAGTGTCGCACAGATTATATTATCTTATACCAGTAACACTTAAGCTTCCTACCCTACTTCATCTGTTTAAAACACTTCTTCCTTCTCTATTCTCTCATCATGTAATTAAAAAACATTACTGCCATCAGGATTCACGATCGCAGCTTGCAGTGACAGGCTGGGAAAGATGGGATTACATATTACAGACGTTTGAAGACAGGCGCTGCGCTGATGTTATTTAGTTAACCCTAGGACATAACCCAAGTACAGCACAAACTGTTAAATTATACAACACAGGAGCAATACGGGCCACCGGATTCCAGAACCTATCCATGTACACGACGAGAGTCTCCAATAGATTTCAAAAATCCCTTTGCGCCACTGGAACTAATGTGGTTATCTCTCCCCTTGAACCTGAACCATCAGCATTAAGTTAGACGATACAAGAAAAACAATAGGAGAGTGAAAGGTGATATATGGTGGATAATGAAGAAGATGAAGTACATCGGTCATAGATCTCTGCTGCAATTGTGAGGAGAGACTCGGTATCCTCAGCCATCTTGAGGATCCTTTCTGCCTCCATCATCTGATCATGTGCATCATGTGCTTTTGCCTCCGCGTCAGACACTTTGACAGCAGCTGCCATCGCTGCCTCTAGTGCAGGGCTGGAGGCAGTAAACAATCCTATGGTCTTCGACACCTTCGATGGCTTTGATGGATCCTTCTGTTTTGGAGCTGAAGCTTTTATTGGAGCTGGAGTCCTTGTTGCAAAGGAATCTGGGAGCCTATAAGACTTATCGATCTGTATTTAGATAAAAAGGATGTAATTAGATTGGCACTAGTTGCATCTACAGCTCAAACATTTCTGGCTCGAAATTTAATATTCTGCCAATACAGCTCTCAAGATACTTTCCACGATGAAATTTGCACTCATGAGAATTGTAGATTTTATGTTAAGCTCAAAACCACTTTTTTTATATTGGCATGTGGCTAGATGGAAAATTCTGCCAAGGTCAGCAAAACCCAGTGGATATATACAATTATAAAAGCAAGTTTGTTGATACGAATCAGACTGATTAATTGCATGACGAAACAGAAACCTGGCATGTGACTATAGTTGTTGGGAATGTTAAAACAATGAGCTTTCTAATATTGTCACATGCAAATGACTAATCTACATATGACATATGCAACTACAACACTACAATCTCTTAAAAGAAACATCATGCAAAGGCTCCACAGAAGCATGAAAGTTGAAACTAATCCTAAACTACCGATATATTCTGTTTAATGATACCAGCCTGCATACATGATAGTGACATTCAAACCCAGCTAATCTTCTGTTACCATTCGTATGCTGTGTGATGCTATGAGATAAAATTGATAGTGACATTGCAAGGCACATACCATCCACTATGGATTCCAGAATATTTCATGTGCTTCATAGAAATATATTTTGAATCCAAATTCCAAAGTAAATATATATTAAAAATAAGTTCCTAAGTATGGCATTCTCAATCTTAACTGAAACTCTTTTTCGAAGGCAATTCAAAATACCAAATAATAAATGAGCTTAGTTTGATGACAATTCCCAAACAAAATTCATTGTAAATTGAGATCGAGAGTGCCAATTTTCACAAGCACTCTAAATAACCTGAGCTCCTAATTTCACAAATCATGCGCAAAACTGTTCACTGTCAAATCTTAAAATGCAATTTCTTAAAATCAAAATCTTTACTTCAAAGTTCGGTCAATGAAGTTTCCCTATTATTCAGTTGTCATCTCACTAATATCGTCCCTAGCTGACAGTGCAGACCTTGCCAACCAAGCAACGAGACCAATGGAACACAGAGGGTTCGATTGGATTAGTTCAGAACATGTAGAATTTCAGCCAGATCCATGGAATAAACTACAGATTGCATATCCAAACGGATTGTAAAGGGGAAAACATAAGCCTCGCTAACAACAACAACAACAACAACAACAACAACAAAGCCTTTAAGTCCCAAACAAGTTGGGGTAGGCTAGAGTTGAAACCCATCAGAAGCAATCAAGGTTCAGGCACGTGAATAGCTGTCTTCCAAGCACTCCTATCTAAGGCTAAGTCTTTGGGTATATTCCATCCTTTCAAGTCTCCTTTTATTGCCTCTACCCAAGTCAACTTCGGTCTTCCTCTGCCTCTCTTCACGTTACTATCCTGGCTTAGGATTCCACTACGCACCGGTGCCTCTGGGGGTCTCCGTTGCACATGTCCAAACCATCTCAACCGGTGTTGGACAAGCTTTTCTTCAATTGGCGCTACCCCTAATCTATCACGTATATCATCGTTCGAACTCGATCCTTCTTGTATGACCGCAAATCCAACGCAACATACGCATTTCATGCGACACTTAGGCATTGAACATATGTCGTCTTTTCAGAGGCCAACATTACGCACCATACAACATAGCAGGTCTAATCGCCGTCCTATAAAACTTGTCTTTTAGCTTCATGGTACCCTTTTGTCACATAGGACACCGGGCGCTTGCCGCCACTTCATCCACCACCTTTTTGATTCTATGGCTAACATCTTCATCAATGTCCTCGTCCCTCTCAGCATTGATCCTAAATATCGAAAGGTATTCTTCCTAGGCACTACTTGACCTTCCAAACTAACATCTTCCTCCTCCCGAGTAGTAGTGCCGAAGTCACATCTCATATACTCAGTTTTAGTTCTGCTGAGTCTAAAACCTTTGGACTCCAAAGTCTCCCGCCATAACTCCAGTTTCTGATTCACTCCTGTCTGGCTTTCATCAACTAGCACTACATCGTCCGCGAAAAGCATACACCAAGGGATGTCCCCTGTGACCTCATCCATCACTAAAGCAAACAAATAAGGGCTCAAAGCTGACCCTTGATGTAGTCCTATCCTAATCGGGAAGTCATCCGTGTCTCCATCACTTGTTCGAACTCTAGTCACAACATTGTTGTACATGTCCTTAATGAACCCGACGTACTTCGTTGGGACTTTATGTTTGTCCAAAGCCCACCACATAACATTCCTTGGTATTTTATCATAAGCCTTCTCCAAGTCAATAAAAACCATGTGTATGTCCTTCTTCTTCTCCCTATACCGCTCCATAACTTGTCTTATTAAGAAAATGGCTTCCATGGTTGACCTTCCGGGCATGAAACCAAATTGGTTCACAGAGACCCGCGTTATTGCTCTCAAGCGATGCTCGATAACTCTCTCCCATAGCTTCATAGTATGGCTCATCAACTTAATTCCCCGATAATTAGTACAACTTTGAATATCCCCTTTATTCTTGTACATAAGCCTCGCTAAGATGAAAAGAAAATAGGAAAAAGTAACTGTAGTCTAATTTAAGAGAAGGAAGATTCACCTTTACAATTTTGTTTGAGTCTGCAAGTCGCCGTAACTTTGCGGTTAGAAATCTTCTAAAGGTGGGTTGCACTGCATGCCTTTCCTGCATATGGTACCAATGATAGCATAAGCAACTTATCATCGTTCTAGGCATATATTAAGCAAGATCTAAATACAGCATGGTATTAAACCAGATACATCAAGTGTGGAAAGGAAATAACAGAGAGTGATAGTCATGCATCATAAGGAAACCCAATCAAATACATCAAACACCCTCACCATATGTGCTGTAAGTATACAGAATCCAAAGTGCAAACCAGATCCTGTAGAAACACACAATTCGAAAAGGCTTCCTTAAGCTCATATAAAGAAAAAAAACACATGCATGTCATCTATCAAATGATTCAGCAGAATTGAGCACGCATTTCACACGAACCGAAGATCAAGATGGCCACAAAATTCTTATGAAACATTCATGATTCATGTGCGAAAAAAATGTTTGTTTTTCATCATTCAAGTTAGCTATTAAAACCAACAAAATTCTCGAAACAGAAGCTTCAAATGTGAAATAATAGTTTCCCTATGGACAGATCATGCAATAGAATATTCCTGTGAGCTCTGATTCTTATCACATCACAACAGTCAAATGTAAGTATATATTTAAAGCAACCAAAACTTGAATGAGCTCCAAAGCTTGACGTTAAATAACTGCTGCAAAACAGTGAAATCAAATGAGAATAATAAGTGCAGATACCCAACCTCTATGAAGCGGAAGATTGCAGCAATATCCGAACCATTCGGATCATTCAATTCCGAAAGAGCTTCCATGATCATGGCACCATACCTAGCAAACAAATATGATGTTGTCAACAGATTCCAGATTAATGAGGACAATAACTTTAAAATAAAATGGAATAGATTCCATGCTAAATCCATCAACTCTCACACCATATTGTCAGTTTGAAGGTTTGAATCTTGAGAATCTTATTTAAGGCATTTCTACACATCAGCTGGCTTATCTACAAATATTCCTGCTAAACCATGTCCACTCTTCAGTTTGCATTTCTGAAGCAGCAAGTGCTTGCTTCAACCCAGATGTTCTTCAATCCAATGGAAGTTGAAGTGATATATCATTCAAAAACTTATATGGTTATATATCCTCTTCAAGACCAGACCAAGAATAAAGGAGGCAACTATCTGGAATAAGATGAATAGAGACATCCTTCATTTACTCAAAAGTATAAGCATAGTGTGGGTGTGGCCATGCAATCACCCTTGAATCAATGTATTTTTAATCGGAATTTTGTCTATGTTATGAACAACTATGCATTTAAAATTAGAATTGCTAATTAACTAGACTTCGGTATGAAAATAAAGAGAGACTAACTTTGGCGGAGTTTTCCCATCCTGTGGCTTTTTCTCAGCATCTGAAGGCAGTGTAGCTTCAGTAACTTTATTTGGCGCTGGGAGAAGCAGAGCCTGTGAGCTAGACAATGAGGAAGATGCGGGTCCAGTTATCCTTGGAACCCGTACTTTACTTGATCCCAGTCCACTTGCACTGAAACTTAAATTCCTCCATTTGTCCTGAAAATACCAAATAGACTATCACATAGAAGACCAAAATGGAAAACCTATAACCATGGTGCAAGCTTCACCGGCACAACTGAATTGACACGCCTTTCAGATGTTCATCATATGATAGAGCTACTACAACAAACTGTCTTACTTTTCACACATTTTACATTGGATTGTATAGATGGAGAACAATTACAATGTTTATCCACTTCCAAGTGAAACCACAAGAGGAACGCCATATTTCTTTAAGAGTATAATGCACCACACGTCCATTAACTTTTGGAGGGATGTCATCTGGGTCCATCAACTCTCAAAGTGCATTTTTGGGTCCAAAAACTTTTCATGCAGTCTGTTGCAGGTCCATACCAGTTCAAGAGCTTGGTAAATTTTCATTTAACCCCCTCCCATCGATACCTCTGTCTCAAAACAGGCCCCACAGTAGCCCGATCAGTGGGCTGGCAGCCGCGTCAGGCCACCCATGCCACCGCCGCACGAGTGAGCAGCCGACCGCCCGTGCTAGTGCAGCCACGCCGCCACACGAGCACGCAGCAGCTGCGCCGGGCAAGCACATTGGCGTTGGTCGAGTGGGCTGGCTGCCGCGCAAGGCCAGCCATGCCGCCGTCGCTTGAGTGTGGGCGGGCAGCCACTGTTCTTCTCCGTCGGCCTAGCGCACAGCGGTTGCCCATGAGCGAGAAATGGGAGAAGCAATATTATAGATTGACAGCAGGTCAGCAGCCTCCACATGGCATTGGATTGGCATCCCGCGACCTTACCGACAGTTCATCCACATGCTAATGTGAGTTGTGACTGCTCTTCTAGAGTCAGCATTGGCGTCGGCGCACATGCAATTTGGGACCGAGCTTGACCGGGAGGACGCTGGACGCATGGGCGCATGCTGCAGGCTCGTTCCAATCAGACGCGCAGGCGTCGACTTCGTCTTCGGCATAAGCTGCAAGCCTGCGTGGAAGTGGAAGGTGCACAATGGGGTGGGGGAAAGAGCTGCTGTAGGCCGGCTAGGGAGAGCGGCACGCGACCAACCTAACCTGGGGGCGCAGCCAAGCCTTGACCTCTCCGTACCTTGCCCGCGCGAGCACCCGAGCCGCAAATCGACCTTCGCACTGGCCTACCAGCCGCGCGGCGAGCATGCGCTCACCCGCCAGCTCCGGGCTCTACTGCGCTCGCCTGCTCCACAGCTAGCCCTGCCGCACTGGCCCTCTGACTCGCTGGACGATGACGCAGCTGGCCGCCCGCGCGCTTGCTAGCTCGCGCGGTGGCGTGGCATGCCAGGCCTCGCGCGACAGCCCGTCCACTCGACCAACGGTAACATGGCTGCCCGGCGCAGCCGCTGCGTGCTCGCGTGGCAGCGTGGCTGCACCGGCACAGGCAGCTGGCCGCTCGCTCGTGCGGCGGTGGCGTGGGTGGCCTGACGCGGCTGCCAGCCCATTGACCGGGCTACTGTGGGGGCTGTTTTGAGACAGAGGTATCAATGGGAGGGGGTTAAATGAAAATTTACCAAGCTCTTGAACCGGTATGGACCTGCAGTGCACTGTATGAAAAGTTTATGGACCAAAAAATGCACTTTGAGAGTTGATGGACCCAGATGATATCCCTTCAAAAGTTAATGGACCAGTGGTGCATTTTACTCTTTCTTTAACATAACATGCTACATGACGAATCATGCTGATCAACTGGGCAAGATAGTATCAAAACAATGGGATATATTCACAAACCAGTGGCCAGTGGGATAGTTATTAATCACTCAAGCAAAACATGCTATGCCTTTGCTCCAGTTATGGACTCAGGGAAAGGCAAAAACAAAGGGTGAGAAAGGTTAAATTTCCAAATCCAACCTAGTGTAAAGATGTTGCTACAAGAAAATAAATGCTGGATTCGATGTGTCTCTCTATGAGATCAGGTTGATGAGACAATTCAGCACATCCTCGTCTCCTGTGTGTTCTCCAGACAGGTTTGGACAATGATCCTCCAACGGCTGGGGCTGCTTCCTATTACCGCTAACCTTCTGTCTCTCGTTTCTCCAGTTGGTGGTACAATGCTATAAAAGGAGTTCCCAAGGATTTGAGAAAGGGTTTGAAACTTTCAATTCTTTGATCATTTTGGTGTCCTGGGAAATTTGGAAACAAACAACACGTTCGGCTGATCCAGTTTCAGTTTGTTTCAGCTTATTCTCTCTCACAGAACACTATTGAATCAACCGAAATCAGCTGAAACTGTATCAGCCGAACAGGTACAAAGAAACTCTTGTGTGTTTGAAGAGGCCAGACCAAATGTTCAGGTAGTACAGCAAACAGTGGCAGATGAGTGTGGCCTTTGGTGCTCAGTTGGAGCCTTAGCTCTTAGCGAGCTCCTCACTAGGTTGTTCATCCCAGTATCCCTGACCTGAGTAGGTGATTATGTTGTTATCATGTTTGTTAAGAAATAAATGGCGTGAATGTAGTGTGGGTCAATGAGAGGTCTCTGATCTCTCCTTGTACCTTTTTTGTTCTTCTTCTAAATGACATGAAATGCAGCTCTGCTCCGTCGATCAAGGAAAAAAAAAGAAAAAATTGTAGCGCCACTAATAATGATGTTTCAGGAGAATAACAAGACCAGCAATATATGGCATTCTTCAGCCCAAGAATGCTACCAGTTCTGGATCTGGAGAATAACTATAACTCGGCAAACAGAATGCCACAAGGGCAGAGTTACCTTAGACCATGTAATCTGCACATGGTAAAATTGACACGGTAATCGATGAACAACATTTTTAACCAAGGAACATGAAAGATAGACAGCTACCATTGAATGTAGCACTCAAATTTATTCTCTACTGCAGTTTGACTTATCCCTACATTGCCACCATACAAACATATGATTCAGTGAAAAGAATTGAACCGTTCTGGCAAAACTACCTAGAAAACAGCTTCGGAGGAACAATAGCATGATAACTCTGTATTAACAGCATACTCATTTTCAGGCGCAAAAACGATACATTTCTCCATCTTAAGAGAGAGATGAAGTTTTAGATAAATTCTAGTTGCAAAAATTGGTGATGTTTCAGGCAGCCAGGTGAAACTTCATGTAGAAGGTTAACAGGAAGGCTATTGTTACTAGATTTCTTCTTGGGAAGATGAGGCAATGGGAGCAAGAGCCAAGAGATGTGAATTCTATACTGAAGAAGTCAAGAGAATGATACCATTCATACGTTTTGCAGCTGCACAGTCACTAAACACGTGTGGAGTGCACTGATTCTGTTCCTCAAACATGTGTTCACCTAAGGAACATCAGGCAGGTAGCTCTTCCATTTATTCCAGGAGACAAATAAATTCATATAGGTTGTCTCACAACAGTTTCATGGTCTATATGGACACATGTAATAAACTAACAATTCACATCTTGAAGGCAAGGTGTTGCAACACTTATTTGATGTTTTTGCTAAAATGGATGTACTCTTGCACTACTCGGCAATACCGCACGAGGACTGGAGGGTCAAGGTGAAGAGCTGTGTGATAGCAATTGGCCAATTGCCAATACCTATACAAGCAGGACACACACAAGCAATTGGTCAGGATAGATTGATGTGTTTCTTATGTTTCTTAATATATGTTGCAACACCATTGGTTTAATGGAGGTAGAGGATAATGTGAAGGCCATTCACTCCCTCTGATTCCAAACTTAGATTGTTTAGGATTGCGATACTGTCTCCGATATGACATTTTGACTTGCACTTTTTTTTTGTAAAAATATACTACCTTAAAATTTAAATAGAAACGGATAAATATTATCAAAGTACTTTTCCATGTTGAATCTAGTAACATCAACCATGTGTTATGAATCTATGCCAATTTTCATATATTGATAGGCCAAGTCAAAGAAGTTTGACCCGCTAGAATTGTAAAATGACGTATATTTGGAATCAGAGGGAGTAGTAGAGAAAGAATGTATTTGCAGATTTCAATTAAAATATCATGGCCCTTAATTGCTAAGGTTGAAAACTCTAAGCAACTACTTGAGGGCAATATCTTCCCAACCACGAATCCCTGTACAATGTGGTACCATTACCAGGATATCCATCAAATTTATCACTGAATCCTATCCCAACAGCAATAACTGCAGAGCACGCTGAGTCACTGACTAGAATGCCTCTCCACTGACATGCTTGCATTTGTCATCAAACAAAAAGAATGTGATTTAAGAAATCACCTACTCATGAATCATCATCACATGATCAGGAACTCAAACCAATCAAAACAATGTTAGAAACAAGAAAATGAATCCCATCCGTTAAAGTAAATTCCTAATAAGCAATGGCACGAGGGCAACATCCATGGGCAAGAGGACATCACAAGTATTCTGTCTGTGATTCGCTTCGTTCAGAAAATCTGTTTCAACATGTGAGCAACATTATTGAATTCAATTATAAGATTATCAATTGTTCACAAGTATGAAAACAGCTTAAATTTATACCATACAGCCCAGATCATAAAACATTCACACTACCATATGTAATCCCACACCGCGTGTCCATGACCACCAGAGCATCATTGTCCTTGAGCAAACTATCACATCACAGCATCCCTCGGCAGCAGAACACGACCATTTCAACCTTCGCCTACATTTATCAGTGCCCCAAAACCCAGAATCTCGCCTTCGACGCCCCAAATCTACCACGGTACTACGGACGAAACTGCAGCAGGGGGACCACCAGGCATCCTAAACCCACTACACAGCTAATAGAGAGGGAGTGATGCAGGGGGAAATCACCACACGCTCAGAAGCACACGACGGTACGAAACATCACGGGATGTCGGGACTAATCGAGGAGCTAAAGGATCCGACAGATAAGATATAGGGACGCGCACGGCTAGCTCCGTCGCGGCCAGGTAGATGGGGGAGCGGCGGGGCAGATGCAGGGGAAGATACCTTGAGGTCGATGTTGGAGCGGGAGGAGAGGACCGGGCTGAACTCGGGGTCCTTCTGGATGGTCCGCCATTTGCCGGCTCCGTGCTTGCGCACGCCGGCGCGGAGCGCATCCTCCTCTTCCGACGTCCACTTCTGCTTCGGCGCGCCCATAGCTTGTTCTCCTCCTCGCCTCACCCCTGTGGTCTCTGCTCTCCCACGTCCAAACTAGCCGACGCAGAAACCCTAATCCACTTCAACAAATAGCTTTTCCAGTTTTCACCCTTCGCCTTTTATTTTATTTCGAGCGTGCTTGGGCCGGAGTCTACGGACAGCGCACCCGCGGCGCGGGTGCGGTATGGAAAACGCGACCGTCCCACCGCGGGACAGGAAACGCGGCCGCAGTGTACCCTTAAAAAAAATGTCATACTTCTACGTACCCTTTAAAAGTTGGTCGTCACCTATATGTTCTTACTTGAATTTTTTTTCCCTCACGCCATTCCGTCGGCATTTGCTCCTAACGGTGGGTAACGGCTCTGTCGAATGACTCAGTTGCCTTTGGGTTTGTATGGGCGTCTGAACTTTTTCGTTTCCCCTATGCCATTGCCAGGTCGTGCTCACCAGCGGCGGCCGCCCTCCACAGACTCCAGCGCCGTGCTCTGTGGCGGCGGCATAACGTCGACTTCTCCCCCTACGGCGCCACGTGGCGCTTGTGGCTGCGACGGAACCTCGCCTCGGGGTGCTTCAACCCGGCGGACTCGGACCTTCTCCCCACATGGCCATTGGTGCTGCTCGGCGTCCTCGCCGCCCAGCGTCTCTGCAAGACGGCCGCCACGGGAGACCCGTTGCCGTCATGGAGCCGTTCGATCGCCATGTTCGCCTCCTCGTCTACATGTGCCCGGTGGCGACCGCGTCGGGGACGACGCGATCGTCCGGGACATCGAGGCCACGCAGCCGGAGCTCCTCGCCAACTTCCTTAGCTTCCGGTCTTCTCCTTCCTGCCGTTCGTCACCAAGGTCGTGTTCCAGCGACGCCGGGAAGCTTCGTCTCGGCGAGGGCATCGGCGGAGAGAGCTCTTCGTCCCGCCGATCACGAGCCAGCGAGAGGTCGGTAGCCACGGGGATCGCTACGTCGACTCAAGGTGAAGTGACCATCCCGAGGACGGCGGGGGCCGGCAGACGGATGGCGAGATCGTGAGCCTCTGCTCGAAGTTCCTCGGCCAACCGCACCCGACACCACGGCCACCGCT